TTTTGTAATTTTTCAGCTGTTCCTTTTAGATTTCTGAAGCTTTTGCTTGAAAAACCCCGAATGACTTTCTAATCAGCTGCATGTCACAATGTATCGCAGTTCAGTCCTGCAACCTGAACTAAAATCAGCAGCCTCCCTGGACTCGTGCTCAGATGTGAGCAGCCAATCTGCCAAAAAAACCTGGGCCACTCTAAAACTACGGTTATAGGATCGAGAATACTTTTGAAATTTCGTGCTACTGAACTGATGTGGATGAACTCCAGAGCGTCCTGTTCAAAGTGGCTTCCTGATATCGTGTCCCCTCGCGAATAGCGCGCTAGCGGGTTTTTCCTGCTCTTCATGGTTTGTACCTCTATCTTTCAGAATTTTCTCAGGTTAGGGCATTGACTTTGAACGTAAATGTTCTTCATTTTCTCTCACGATCGTATCACAAGAAGCCAACGCTAGGCAAGACGGGCAAACGCTGGACAAAATTGGCCCGTGCCGAGCTAGAAACTTTGTTGTATGTATCGGGAAGACCCATATGGTTCCTGATAAAATTGCGTGGTTACTACGACTACCCTTATGGCCAGGCCGCTCCAAGACCGCTCCGAAACCGATCGGTTTTCGGCCGGTCTTCGAGCGGTTTCTGAGTGGTTTCTGAGCGACATCTGAGCGGTTTCTGGCCGTTTTCCGGGCTGTTTGTTCCAGTCGTTTGAAATACTTAATATGCTTCAGGAATTCTCGTCACTTCTCCCAAATTACGTTCTACGATGCCAAATTATGATTTTCTTAATAATTGTCCTTGTTCCACTCATTTCAAAGGAATAAAGTAGAATAATCTATGACTTGGTATTTCAGAGAATTTCGATGAGCATTAAAATAAAATGCCCATTAAGCAGCCGCACATTATTCCTAACGTCGATTTCTTTCGTACCAGTTCACTTTTGATCCGTGTAAAATAACTACTAAACAAACCGGTCGAAAATCGTTCGAAAACCGATGTTATGAACAATCTGTGTGCTACGACGTTACATACATTCTCAATAATACAACGTAGGTTTAAACTGCTGGAACGCTAGCGTCCTAATAGATCTATCATATCCGTTGTTATTGGTGATCTGTGTTCACATTCATTATTGATACAATTTTGGGTCAATTTGAATAACAGTGGTGTTACCAGAATAGGGAAATCACAAAACTGAAATCAGGGGAATGAAAATTAAAAAGCAGCCCTTATTTTCAGAAAAACACAGCGTTTGGCTGAGCCCATATGGGGCCTCAGAAGTAGTGCCCATCGTTTTAGTTAGAACTGCCTATCGTATGCCCATCCGGGACCCATCTAGGCGTGCTGCTTGTGATGTCGACATCAACTGGACGTTGTAGGCTTGATGTAGTAACAAATATGGTAATTTTCTGTCCCAAAACAAGAAAAGCTGTTATAGAAAAGATAATGCAAACATCAGCAAGAGTGTATAAACTGGAAACGCAGCATCTTTATCCCGAAACGTTTCCATATCCAACTTAAGTCATTTGAAGGAGAAATTTACATAAATTAACCCAGTCGGTTATAAACGTTGAATATAGGACGAGATGTATATAGCTATTTCCCAAAAATATGTGAGGTACGCTTGCGAGACCATTTTGTTTCCCAATCTCATGGAGTTGAACAGCTGGAATATGACGTTCAGTGAAATTTGAACCGGTTGAATTTTGTGGGACTACAACGGCGACTGGGTAGCTTTGAGTACAGATTATATAACTGAAGATCAATCTTTGTCTCAAGCAGCACACCCAGATGGGGCCCATCCGGGATCCGGACGCGCCTGAGCGGCACGACCTTCACCTGAGTGTCCCCTTGGAAAAAAGGACACAGGGGACGGTCAAGTGTCCCTTCGCGCTGCCTGAGGACATGATAAGCAGCTCTGTTTAAAACGATGGGCACTACTTCCGAGGCCCCAGATGGGCTCAGCCAAACGCCCTGTGTTTTTCTTTTCATTCACTCGATTTCCGTTTTGTGATTTCCCTATTCTAGTAACACCACTCTTATTTACATTGACTTAATATTGTATCAATAATGAATGTAAATAGAGTTCACCATTAACGATGGATAAGATAGATTTATTAGAACGTTAGCGTTTCAGCAGTTCTAACCCAAGTTGTATTAGTGAGAAATGTATGCATTTGTAATAATTAGACAGTTTCATGAAGGCCCATGTAGGTTTTCCCAGTAAATTCAACAAGATGTTTTGTTCAGCGTAGCGCTGAGCAGTCTACTACATGAGGTGGCAAAATTATGGAAAATAATTAACCTTACATTGACTATCACAAAATGGTAGAAGTTGTTTATCAAAAACTGTCGTATGCAAGTATCTAGATGGTTTCACTTTTGTATTCGTGTAACCATGTTTGCTGTGACTTACGATCCTTTTTTCCAATAGAGTTCAAGCTGATAGGCCCTGTTCTACTTCGCGGGTTGTACCAAACGCGTGACTAGCAGTCCTACAAGGAGCAAGCTGAGTTTCGCACGGGTCGTGGATGTATGTATCGAATATTCATTTTCCAACAGTGGCTAGAGAGCTGTTGTGCCAAAAAGGGACCAAAAATCATTATGTTCCCAGACATACAGTTGACCTTCTGTCCTGTCACTATGACTGCACTGTGGAATTGTGTTGCTAAATGGAATACCTGAGATTTGTGTCAGTCCTCAAAGAGCTTTATCGTCATACCTCAGTTCGGTTTGAGGTTACGGCCAGCTTTCATCCTTTTTAGTCGTCTCCAGTGGAGTTCGACAAGGTTGCTGTATATCCCCATTTCTCTCCAACTTTGCCACAGAGGATGTTCTGCGAAAGCCTTATCTGGTTTCCAAAACGGCGGAGTTGAACTCTTCCCAGGGAACAGATTTTCCGACCTGGAATATGCCGATGATATCACCCTGTTGAGCGATAATGCACAAGCAATGCAACAAGCTTGGGACCGTTTGGCGACTGAGGTACTCAGATATGGTATGGACTTTGTGCCTTCCAAGTGCAAAGTGCTTTTACAGGAGTTAGAGAAGCCTGTAAATGCACTCACTGTTTTCAGTTTTCACCTAGAATTAGTCAATCGCTTCAAGTACCTCGGGAGATAAATTACAGCCGTGGATCATGTTAAAAAGATCATATCGCAAGTAGGGAGAGCTAGAGCAGCTTTCGTAAACCTGCAACGCATGGCGCTGCCGTGACATCCAGTTCTCTCTTAAGAGACGGGTTTATAATACCGCGGAGCGTAATGTTTTACTTCGCAGTTGCCAGATTTGACCACTTCACTTTAAGAATGCTCGGTGGCTGTCCGTTTCTGACCATTGATATCTCCGAGGCATTGCTCGCCCTTCGTAGGAACAACATCGAGTGAGAACTGACGAGGTTTGTCGTTGTCTGTTGGATGCAAATAGTTGTCCTCCAACTGAAGTGTTTGCTGTTCGCCGCCTTCAGTGGTCCCGAAATGTTTTGCATATGTCTTATCGTCTTTCTTTCCGTGCTCTGTTCTCACGTGCTAGGTAAGGCTGGAAGAAGCGACGCGGTGGTCAGATCGTAACTATAAATTAGCATCAGCATTGAATTCGGTTGGTATTTCTCGCCTTCCTGGTTCGGGCTCAAGAGATGAGGATTGCCGTTGATAAGAGTTGTTGAAGGGCGTGGTATAGAATGAAAGTCAGTGGAGCAATTGCTGTACAGCCAGTTAAATTCCCGTCCTCAGTTAACACGTAAACCAAACAGCCAAACAAACAAAGCGCTAATGTCGATAAACAAAAAAACGTTCGTCCTACCTTTATTCATTAACCGCTCTCTTATACTGTGCTACCCCTTCTTTCATTTCATTGCGTTAGTGTTTACATTGTAGCGTTTGCACCGAGCTTTACTGCAGGCCGTTAATTGTATATATATATATATATATATATATATATATATATATATATATATATATATATATATATATATATATATATATTTGGAAAATCCACTTGCATTGTTCACATCGAAAAGATAACGTCATAATAATCACCTCTTTTGTACCAGTCACCTGTCAACTTTGTAACTCTGGATTTTTCTACTCGATAGACAGTGAAATACCTTCATTTTCCATCTTGATGTCCTTGGACTTGGGGTTAACATATCTCAGTAGAATCATTCTTATAGCCGAAATTCTTGTTCTGTGGGTTACGTAAGACCAATACCGTAAGACAAATAATTTCATGAAAGAAACGGCCGTTTTCTTTGGTAACCTATACGTCAAAAATCAACCGAAGTGGAAACTTTTCAAATGGATGAACGAGTACTGCAAATAAAACAACAATATAGTCCACTTAGGGGCCCGCAATATTCTCCCACAGTCTCCTATGAATTTCGGTAGTTAGTCTCAGAAGAACAACAGGAGAATATTCTTTTGAATTTGTCTGAGAATGAAGTACGGCGATCTACCTCACGATTGTATTGAATAGCAGTTCGTTATCATGGTGGCATTTACTAATGTTTCCATGCATCTCTCACAGAAGTCTGCAGTTATACAATTACTTCAGGCCTCCTTTCTTGGATCGTTGTTCTATTTTGCCAAAGGTTTTTCTCAATGCTGCTAGTTGTTTCACCACTGCAATAACTTCATTTCTGTTCTTTGCCCACCGAAACAGCAGCTGCCTGATAGTGACTGAAAGTACCCACCACGATTATCGGGAAAACTAGTGCTCTCCCATAGTTTCATTATTTTCTCGTGTTGGCTTTTCTGGGCCCAGAACCGATCTAGAACGTTTTAATCCGAGTTGATAAGTCTCGATGCTCTTAATTTTAGTCATTTATTATTCCCAGTTGGTACACTGGTCTTCCAAACAATTCCTAGTCAGCTAACAGTTTCAGTTAGTATAATAATAAAAAATATCCACCTGGAGGCATTTACTGATCACACGATTCTCTGAAACCTTTTCTCTTACCCTAACATCTTTTTTATCTCTTAGAATCATACTTTTCAAAACATAACCATCCATAATTATGGTTATTCTCGAAGATCAGATATGGATGATCGTCGTGGGATTCCTGGTAGCATTCGTTTTGGCGTTTGGTCTTGGTGCTAACGATGTGGCCAACACCTTTGGTTCTAGTGTTGGTTCAGGCGTGCTGACTTTGAAACAAGCGTGCATACTAGCAACCATTTGCGAAATGTCTGGTGCTGTACTCTTGGGTAGGATTTCTCCGGTTGATGCGGTTTTTACCGTCTTAATAATTAAGGAGCCAAAGTATCCAATACTCTGCGCAAGGGCATTGTGGATATTCAGCTGTTTTCCGGCTTGGAAAACGGGGCCGCCACTCTTATGGCCGGACAGGTTGCGGCACTTGGAGGTAAATTGCGTTCATTTCCATTTTAATTTTTCAACCAGTTTTGCATTGTGGTAGATTACGACCATGCTTTTTAGTATTTTTTTAATACATGCTTACGCACGAGTACAGTGAAAGTAGTATACCCCGTGGCCAAAACGGCCCGCTGCACTATTAGAGATAACCGGCCACTAGGTCCTCAGGCTTGGAGTGTATACCCACATAAGATCCTAATAGGTCGGGAGTGGTGACGATCCGGACGACGGTGAGGATTACTGTCTGCCATAAGAATGACCGGACTCAAACCTCGGACCTGCGAATTGGTATTCAGACGCCCTAAACTACTCGACCACTACCGGCCGAGTACCAGTTTTATTCGTACTCCTGAATCCAAGTTATTGAAAACAGGCTAATCATTTTACCCTTGTATCCGTAAGTATGTGTGATATATTCTCCAGTGGTAAGAACTACACTTAATATTTTGTCTTTCTTCAGAAAACGCATCGCCTATTTCTTGAAAGGCTAGTTTTTTTTGTCGCTGATGCGGCAGACATAAGCCACTCAAGTATGGTTCGACTGGTTTTTTGTGATGTTATAAGTTCGAGAAGCATGGAATCTTCCACTTCAGTTTCATCAGTTCTTTTCTAGCACTACAGGTTGTCGCAAAATTCGCATACATGATCCCATGGTTTGGATAGTCTTCTTCAATTAGATTATAGTCACTATGAAATGTATTACTGTGAATTGAGGTACCTACTGTGAAGTAAACGCCGAGGCTATATTAGTTCTTTTGATGAAGCAAATAACCAGCTGCTAATTTAGCACGATTTTGTTTGTATAAGAGAACTGTACTTAGCTACTGATTACGATGGATTTTACTAAATATGAATGCTCCTTCGAATAGTAACCCTTCCTGAAATTTGAAGCTACACTAGCAATTTTAGTGTACTTGTTTCACTGATCTAATATTTAATGCCGCAAAAGTAAAATGAATTGAATAATTGCTGCACAGTTTTCTCTCCTAAATATAGGAAAATCTACATTGAAGCAGAAGACTGAGCATTAATAGTACGATTCCTAAACAACGGTCTTACCGTTCCTAGTCTTGCGTTCATTTTATTTTGCGTTTCACTGAAATCTTGTACTTCTCTGCTTCTGGCTTAGGGCTTTTTTGCCTTCATTTTGTAGTTAGTTTTTATTCAATATAATGAAAATAGAACGGACTGCTTGGCACTACTTGGCAATGCCGGCATATATCTACACGTAGATCAGCAAGTTTTTATGTATCGAAAGATTCAAGATGTCTCATGAACAACTACCAGAATGGACTGATATGTACATATACAGACTGTTATTATCTTTGAAGAACTTGGTTGTATGGGACTAATATAAAATCGATGGTTGGGTGAATATTGCTTAATTCAGGTTTTTTCCAGCTGATTTGATCAAAACTGAGCCATACTGATATAAGACGCGCAAACACTTTCAATGTCTTGGCGGTAATAACGGCCAACATTTTTCTGTTTAAGCTTGAAGATCTACACAGTTGGGTGTTTTTTTGGGCGCATGTTCAATAGCAAAAAGCTATCCATCTGTAACTACTTAGTTTATTTTGACATCTGCGTAGCAGATAACTGTAGCACCTCGCGGGAGGCAAATACTGTTATACTTTGATCCACTAACGTTCAAAAAATTGAACCATTCGTGACTTTAACCTAAAGTTTCATTGATAGCAAAGTACATCAGTTGAATCAGTTATGGCTTACGACTAGAACTTGAAATCTGTTTGTGAAACACTCATTACAAGTCTCAGTAACCAAGCTTTATGGGTTTTAGGTAATGCTCTTGTTTCGGTTAGCTTTCCGCACCGAAAAGACCTTCGATATGGAATTCAGTCGTTGTGGCGGTAAAGAGCACCGTGTGTTCGAAGTCAGTGATTGGTGATCACTGAATTTTTGGGAACCACTACAAATGACGTAATGGGCATACCGGATTCACAATCTCTCGCTTTAGCTTTGAGTCTTAATACCGATTCTGAATGTGTGCTGCCGCCGTTGCTGCTGATTTCCCACCATGATGGAACAGTTATAATGGTCCCGTAGATTTTAACTTTCGTATACCTTGTTGATATCGCATGAATAATCATAAATAATACATGAGCACTTATTCTTTGTTTAAATTCGGTGAACGTTTCATTGTCTCACAGTACACGGCGATCATATCGGTATTGATGATATATATATATATATATATATATATATATATATATATATATATATAATGTATATATATATACCGGCTTGGGACCAAGCAAAGTGCCAACGCAACTACGACGGTTAAAAAATAGGGAGAGGAGATTAAAACACAGTAAAACAGATAGTTAGTAAGAAAAAATATGCTGATTTTTTTTTCTCACCGTACACTTTTTGATGTTTTTGTCATCTTGTTTGTCGGCATGACATTTTTGTAATCACGGGGTACGAGATTCCCACAGTCAGACCGCACAGCATTTGCGCCACTGAGTTCTATTTTCAACCATGTCCCTCAACGTCTCTAACCAATGACAATCCTCATCCCTTGGGTCCCAACCAGGGAGGCGGGAAGCGCCAACCAAAGCCAATGCCGATGTTAGATTTCTCGTACCTCTACTTCAAGTCATGGTCTGACCACCTCGTCGTTTTTTCCGGCCTTGTAAACACAGCACTGAAAGGTAGACGATAGGCAGACATTCGTAAAACATATCCGAGTCACCGGAGACAGTGTACAGCGACCACTTTGTTAAGAGGGCAACTATCCGTGCCTAACATACGACGCCGCACCTCATCATTTTTCACTCGATTTTCCCACCAGACGTGATCAGTGCTTCGAAGACATCGGTTGTCGAACACATGAAGACGCCGAGCATCCTCAGCGCGAAGCAGCCAGGTCTCGCAACCGTAGAGTAAAACACTGCGAACCGCGACGACGCACACCCGTCGTTTAAGAGAAAACCGGATGTCACCACAGGTGTTGCAGGTTTGAGGAAGCTGCTCTGACTGTCGCTAATGGTGAACTGATCTCCTCAACACCACCTCTAAGAGTGTATGGGGTGTCTGAGAGGAGTATCACCTCCGAGTTGGTAGACTGTCGTGCCCCTTGGGGCATCCTCTATCTCCTTAGTCTCCATCATTCACCTAGCTCTCACCTGTGGTTCCACGAAGCTGAGGCATGCATCAGCGGCCACACCCTGGAAAACCGCTCGACAGGCGGGCTAAACCAGGTCGAGGATAACCAAGGTCGAAAGTCCTCAACGATATGGTGTTCGGCATGCAAAGACAGATACTCCTGAATGGGCGGATGAGTACTACTGATCCAACGGGTACAAAGGAAAAATGTCTGACCTACCCGACACGGCGTTCCGAAAAAGGCGAATGAGCCGCGTAAAAAGCCGCCAGCTCATCTGAAACAACCCTGCTGCCTTGTTAGCTGCACTTGGATGTGCAAAGACTAGAGGTGCATCCTCGAATAAAAAGACCGGATGGGGTACCGTCAACTTCCTACTCCGGACTGGGTGACCGAGTAATATAACGGTTCCGAGCGGTGCTGGGGACACCACCTCGTACCATATTTCCGCGAATTTCAATGAATGGTTTGGAAAACATGCACTTTGATCATGCTATGGCGTTCCCGGCAAGCGATGCGCCTCGTGTCCCAGCGGCCAAGGTGTCCAGACAACAAGCTGGAATACCCAACTGTAGGAAGCAGGCTTATTTAGCTTGTTAGAATGTACGGCTCCATTAGACGTGGGCAGCCAAAGCCCCACAATGAGGACACTACACAACTACAACATCGACATAGCCTATCTCTCGGAAGTCCGCATACCTGAATCCGGCGTTCGGTTCATAAAAGTTCCAGGAGAAGAGGCAAATTACTGGATTTATCAAAGTGGTTCGACAGACAACTCCAGGCACCACGGCGTCGCATTTGCCATGAGCAATAAAGCCAATAGTGCAATGATCGCTTGGGAGCCCATTTCAGCAAGACTTGCTTTGGCACGTTTTAAAGGCTCCCCAAAAGACTTAACGGTGATTGCGGTCTATTCTCCGACCATCGCAGTGTACAGCGAGACAAAAGGTAAATTCTGCGGCAGCCTCCAAGAGTTCATCAATCGTCCAGAGAAGTGACATGCTGTCCATCGCTGGATACTGGAATGCTCGCACAGGTCCGTCTGGTTCGTCAACGCGGCACATCCTGGGAACTGGCCTTGGTCAACGCTGTAAGAATGGTGACCGCCTGGTCAGTTTAACCAAGTCTAACAGAACAGTCGTTTGCACCATACGTTTTTCAGCACATTAAAAAACGCTTACTGACATGATACTCCAACGACGGTCGCAACTCACATCAAATCGACCATATTCTAGCGAGGTCTCGTTGAGCTTTGTTTGTAGAAGACTGTCGAGCGTACCGCGGCACGGTAATGGGAAACGAAAACGATACAGACCACGTTCTTGTTCGTGCACGCTTCAGAATCCATCTATCCGCAAGCCTTAAGACCTCCCTACCGACCCGCATAAACGTCGTAGCCCCGGAAACGCCAGAAAAATGCCAAGCGCTGTTCAGTGCAATCGTCACCCGATTATTCGCAGTAACCAACGTATCACCGGGTTCAGCTCCAGTAGAAAAACAGTGGACGATAATCAAATCGACGGTTAGAGAAACTGACTTCAAAGAACTATGCAAAACTGAAAGGCGTCTAAAAGACTGGATCTCGGAGGGCACACTTCAACTGTCGCTTAAAGCACACGGAGCCCGGATATCAGGAAGTGGCGAACGCCGCAGATTGCAACGCTAGACTACGCACTTTGTTAGGGCTAAACGTACGCGGTACTGGATAGAAGTAGCTGAAAAAATGGGATTTGCAGCAGGGATCGATGACTTTGGCAAACTTCTCCGCCTCATTCGCAACGCGTCGGGTAGGTGCCGCAAGCAGGAGTCGCTCTTACGCGACACAGTCGGTCAGCTGATACCTAAGCAGATAAAAAACA